TGGCTGGCAGAACAAAGGAGAGCTACCTGCAGGGACCAGTCTGCACACTCACAGTTCGTTTGGGCAGAGGATGTGTGAATGTTTCTCAAGGACCAGATGTGGGCCATCAGAAGAGAGATCTGCAGCAGGATCATCTTAGATCCTTTCCTTACTATAGGACAGTCTGGAGGCACAAGGGGACTTCAACAGAAAGAAGCTAGAGATTTACCCCCAGAGGCCTTGGACTGTGGAAGTGGAAGTGACCAACCAGAGAAGAGCTGCATTTGTCCATGTCAAGGGAAGAGAAGGTGGGAGATGGTAGGGTCATCCAAGGACCCACATAAGAGCCCACAGGATGAAGAATCAGCTTGAAACACTTGCCAGAACCAGGGAGCCTGATACCAACTCACAGCAGGATTCGTCAAGTAAAAACTCCCCTGCCTCCTGACTTTCCTCCTCCCCCGACTCCACCATGAAGGATTCTAAAATCAAGATTAGCCAGTGATGAGAGGGGCAAAAACACAAGGTTGGGGTTGGGGGGAGAAGCCAACCATGCCCCCCTTTATTGCTACAGAAAACTGGCCTGAAGCAGCCTGAGCAGGGAATGATTCTGCCCCACTATTTGTTCAATGCAACAGCAATACAAGGGTTTAAGAAGTGAAACCACTGCTATTCTCATTGCAAGATTCACTAGAAGATAAATTAGTTTAGGAATATGTTTCTGAGTCAACTAAGGTTTACAGGAGAGGACAGATTCATAGACAGAACCAGAAGGAACATTCTATATCAGCAGCTCCAACCTCTCATTTATCCTAACTTAGGCCCAGAGAGATAAGAAGACTTCCAAGTTTACACACATAAAGACAACAAGAAAATCATAGGAGTATATACATACCATCTACTCACCCCAACCGTATTTAATTAGGTAGCTTCCTTTGTAAAGGCCAAATTTCTTCCTGCTTCCCAGGTCTTAGAGAGATTAAAGCAAAATTATAGGCAAGATTCTTGATAGCATCCAAGGAAAACTATTTTATTTTGCTAAGAATCAAAATATATCCTGCCCTGCTGTTCTCCTGGTCTTGAAATGTAGCCACTGTTATTACAAGTATCCTTTCATTGAATGCTCTAATCTGTCTGTGAGCACATACATGCAGATGTACCCACTTTTCATTATTTGTAGTATTCACTCTTTCTCAAAAACTCTCCTAAGGTCATGCATTTGTCTCATCCAAGACAGGGTCTCACTGTCCTCAGAGCAGAAGATGGTTCAGCAAATGTTTCCAGAATAACATAACGATTCCAGTTTCGCTGCCTATGTGCTTTTCATGTATCAACCACACTGCTTTCAGAGAAAGAAAAAAGGCAACATTTCTGCTCATCTGTGGGATTCACACTCAACTCTTTGCAAATCCATAACTTGGCGTTGCTAAGTATGGAAGGGGCACATGTGTTGGCACCTGGCCCCTTGGGCAGACAGTGCTGTGGTGAAACAGAGCTCCACATACCCTCATAACGTACGCTATCTGCTTCTGTAGAATTGCTTGCTTAACCTAAGTAACTCC